ATAATTTGTACCTGTTCTTACTCATCCTTCCCACTGCCCTTCTTCCTCTCTCCTCCTCTCTTCCTGGTTTCTTGTCCCCCTTCTGTTCTCTTGTCATACACATACACATACACACACACACACATGCACAAACGCATGTGTATATACAGTTAAATCTAGACTCTGCAGATGAGAGAAAACATGCTATTTTGTCTTCCTTTCCTGTTACCCTCCCTTGTTCTTTCTTCTTCCCTCCCTGTACATCTCTTCTTATGATCCCCTCATGATCCCTTCCCTCATGATCCCCCTTCCACTTTTATGTCCTGTGTTTATATGTATACATATATGCACACACACACACACACACTAAATCTAGATTTCATATGTGGGAAAACATGCAATATTTGCTAGGGTATGGAAAATTTCACATAACATGGTTTTCAGTTCCATTTGTTTCCCTGCAAACAACCTAATTTCATTCTTACGGGCGAATAAAATTCCATTGCGCATATATACCACATTTTCTCTATCCATTTGTCTGTTGATGTACATTTAGACTGACTTATTATATTGACTGTGAATAGTACATCAGTAAACATGCACATGTAAATATCTCTATAGTAAAATGGCTTAAAATTACTTTGGATATACAACAGTGTATGCTGAATATGTGTAATATTTCTTGAGTTATTAACTTGTATTTGTATTTACTTGTAACTCCTCTGCCTCGTTTTAGGATAAAAATCATGCTAGCCTTATAAAATCAGTTGAGAAGTGTTTGCTTTTCTGGGAGAGGTCACACACTAAAGCTGGTTTTACTTCTTCCTCCAAGTGAGGAAGTTAAGCTACCTGAACCTGAAATTTCTATCGTGAGGACTATAATTTTTTTCATAGGTACAGGGTTATAAAGTTGATTTCATTTTTTGTTAGTAAGCTTAGAAGTTTACATCAAGGAAATAGCCCATTTTAAGTTGTTCAGTTTATTCAAATAAGATTTTTTTTTTACAAACTAGTTAAATGTATGTGCCTATTTATTTTAAAATATTTTATTATTTTTATTTTTTTTGTGTATTAGAAGAAGCATTTCATTACAACAGCATTAACCTACTCAATAACATTTTTCTGAGCTAGGGTACATCTCTTTCAAAATTGGCTGTATATTTTTAGGTTTACAGATGAATTGTTACGCTTGTACAATCTTTTACTCATTATAAACTCTATAAGACATAAAATTAAATGAGTTTTTTTCTTACTAACCTTTTAATATCTGTCATAGTTAAAATCTGGCAAGAAAAGGCTTATAAATTTTATCAATCTTCTCAGAGAATTAACTTTCGTTTTGCTAATTTTATTGTGTGTTTTGTGTTTCACTAATTTCTCTTATCTTTATTTAGTTTGCTTTTTTTGTTTTTAGAGTTTCTTATTTTCATTTTTAGGGTTTTTTTTTTTTTTTTTTTTTTTTGGAGGCAGGGTCTTCCTATAGGCCCAGTTGGCTTGGAACTCACTATGTAGACAGGCTGACCTTGATCTCAGAGATGTGCTTGCCTCTGCCTCCTGAGTGCTGGGAATAATGATGTGAGACACCAAGTGTTTTTTGAGTTGCTTAGAGAGGAATCTAAAGTCACTAATTTTTTATCTTTCTTTTTTTTTTCTAATGGAAGCACTTAGACATTTTTAAAGTTCTAGATTTTATGGATCTGAGTATATAGCTCAGTTGGTTGAACATTCCCTTAGCATG